TCGATTTTAGATACCGAGTGGAGCGAAGAAGCTTACGGTTTTACAAAGATGTTTGTTTGTCTGAAAGGAAATTGTCGGCGTGGGGAGGTTAATTTAGGCAGGTCCCGAGAGTTTTCCCATCAAATTTGAAAAACAGAAAAAAAATAACGGTAAAATGTACGAAATGTAGGTGTTGGTTAAAATATATTACGGTCTTATTGTTTTCTGTGCACAACATCTCTACCAGCGATTTAGCTCAGACTTTTAACGATAGCAAAGTTTCTAAAAGAAAAACTGACTGGGGAGGTTATTTGAAGAGATCACTTTTTGATTTTCTCAAGAGTTTTCCCAGCAAATAAAAAAAACCGGGATAAAACATAAGAAATCCGGGAAAAACGTAGGAAAATTGGAAAAATCGGTACAACATTAAACAAATATTATTAAAGAAAATATATGAAGTCTATTTTATTATTTTACTATATAATGACATGTATATTGTTGGCAAAGCATCACTGTAAACTGAACTACGCTCAGAATCGTTTTTTGGGAAGCAATGTTCTATCGTTGCTTACAGGTATACTATATGCTATAACAGTGGCTGCACCTGTGTCCATTATAAAATCATTGTTATTTTTTTTCTTGGAGCACTTAATGTTTGTTGCTTTAGGTGTCCACATTCTCATTCCATTAAGTTAGTAGTTGAGGGGTTTGCTCCGTCTATATATGTATACGTTTGTGAGAAACGGTGACGGGGGGGAGGGGAAATCGGTCATTGAGTAACATATAGTTTGTTTGTGAAAACCGGATACTAAAATAGACCTATACCTGCTAATTACTACCTTTGGCTTTGTACAATTTATAGAATGAAAACGTAGGAGAAAATAAATCCAAAAAAACCGGAGTATCAAAGAACCGTAAGCTTCCGATTTCCATCGATTGTACTGAAAATCAATGGGCCCCTTCAATAGAGTCCAGCTAATAGTGTAGCGAAAACCGCTTTAAAAATACACAACCGTTTACGAAAGATAGAGATCACGCGCACAAACAGACACGAATATTGTATTCATAAAATAGCTTACACTGGTTGATTAATATAAAATCATAACATCTCCCCGTGAAATCCTAAAAAAAACTGTTGTCGAAAATAAAAGCAATCGCCCTCATTGTAATCATTTGCCAAACGTCAGGTAGTTTATTTTTATTTGGAATAGCTATAGTACCTATCTAATATAGGTACGTAACAATATTATATTATACGGTCGCGGGCCTCACAATATAAATACCATAGGTGCGAGGGAGAGCTGCATTTTCGAACGCTCCTCAAATAACCGTAGCACTCCACCACTTAAAACTGTCCAAACAAACTTTCTTATCATCAACGTGAGACGCTAGGCTACCCGCACACGCAAAACCGTCAGTGAAATACAGCCAATGGAGAAAATCGGGGTTATACGTTCTCACGACGTCTATTTGTCAGTGACCGATCCAGCGTTGTGTATGAGGGGCCTCATAAAACATTACTACAAAGCCAAAACAAAAAAAAAAAAACCTAGTTGACAAAATTTGTACCTAGTAACCTACACAATGTTATATTATATGACGTTACAGTATAATATATTTATACATATTTCTGAAAATTGTACAGATCACATTAGTAAAATTGTATTTTAAAGTAATGTATTAAAATCGTTTTCTACGTTGATTTGTGTTTAATAGGTTAAACAATATTAGTTTTAAAATTAGTTTAGTTTGTGCAGTGTCTTAATCTTATAGTATGAATTATGGTTGAATAAGTAATTATTTAAGTTAACGAAATATAAAATATTATGATTATTAAATAATTAACAACAAATATAAAACAACTTTTATTATAATAAAAAAATTAATATAATTTTATTTCTAGATTATAATAAAATGCCTAATTATAATTACCATCATACTTAAATATGTATTATGTATAATTAAAAAGAGAGGACATTTATAGGTTTAGGAGGGCCTAGGACCTTACCTCCCTCCCCTGTATCCACCACTGATATTTGTATCACATTATAATAAATTGATATAATATTTATTACAATTGGAGAAATTTCTGACGTTTTAAAATTTACAAAAATTTTTACCGGAATTAGAAAAAAATATATTACCTATCTGTCATGTCAATATACTGATATCGGTATAAATATTTTATTTTATTGGCGAATTTATTTTGATGTTTTTTGTAAATGTTGCTGTTTTTCGTGCTTTTTTGAATTCCTGAAACATAATATACTTTGGAAATTTCATAAGGATATTATCTTTATGGAATAGGTTCCTATTTTGGCCCTTTTCTAGGTTCCAATAACCGAGAATACTCAAAACGTGTAAAGCCCAGGGATTCCGATTTGTCTACACGGCCGTTTTGTAAATAATATTGTCACATTTGAAAAATCGAATATAGAAAAGCAAAATTAAATGGACGGTTTTTTTTTTTTTTTCTGTAATCATTCTGAATACTACGCTGCTGCGGAAATCAAATGCAACGATAGATATAGCGAGAAAAAAAAATCACTCGTGTACCCATATCCAATTTAATATAACTGCATACACTCGCCCGCATGTCGAACTCGCGTAATATTCTAGCTGCACTCGAGAAAACCGATCGCCGTATTGCGAGATGATGACCGACAATAAGGTCGGAAATAATACAAATATCAGAATTGTGGCGTATGCGCAATTCTATATAATATTGTTACTATGTAGGTTCGTCCGAACAATATATTATTCGTGAATCGTTATGTGAACGCGATCACAAGGCCCGGAAAAGCGCCCGATAAGTATAAATGCAAGTATGTGACTGTACCCTATGCACGATATGCTGTCAAGTTGATTGGAAAACGTCTGGGAAACCGCCGTTTGGGCTGAAAAAATACGCACACGAGAGTTGATATGCAAAGCTAGCCGTTGAGGGTTTTTAAGAGGCGGGTCGCGTACTCGAGTATACGCGATTTTCACGAAATGTCTGAACAAAAGTGTCAATTATTATTTATCAACTGTAAAATATTCAAATTCACTCGAAATCTCACCAAATAACTTTTTGTGATGCATCTTACAATTGCTGGTATTCCCGTGTGGTAATCGAAAGCGTATTTATTTATGGTTTTTTATGGTTATTTATGGCTTTTTTCCAATCTATTTTTGTAAATTTTAATCGTTGCTACATCATTAATACATTTTTTCCAATATTAAAAAATTTATCGAAAAAAAATTCTCAAATTTTATTTTAATTCTTTCAAAATCAGTACTCCTTCTCCCACCAAGAAAAATACCCAATATTATTTTTACCGAAACTAATTGCTGTAAATTTATTTTTAAAAAAAGTGACGTTAACATGACGTATATTATTTATATTTTTTCGGACGATTTGAAATCACAATATTAACTCAAAGCCGAACATTAAAGAGTTAAAAAGTCAATAATTATAAGTTAATTGTAACTTTTAACGATGCTATTATTATTTTATTTTTGTATTAACTAGCTTAACTTATTTTTGTTTTGCAGTTGATATATTCTACAACAGTGTGGTAAGACTGATGTAGGAATCGGAGAGTTTAGCGGTAGACAAACAAATATAAACAAATGAGTGTATCAAAATGTTTAAATAGATCAATGAAGTGACTAGCAAATATAGAGTAAAGAACGAATACATAAGAAATTCTAATAATGAAAAAAATGAGAGAAAATAGACTGAGATCATTTGGACATATTGTGTGAGGAAATAGTTGGAAGAAACAGAATAATGGTAATTCAAATAAACATAGGAGAAAAGAGGGAAAGAAAAAAATTGACAAAGGGTTGGTTGGATGCGAGTATATGCGAGGATTATGTGAGAAATCGGATCAAGTGGAAGTTTAGGAAGATGATGGGTGACCACAAATTTTTCGGGATGAAGGCGAAGAAGAAGAAGAACTTAAAGGTTAATGAAACTATCTAACTAACTTTGAACTTTACATATTGTAGGTAATCAATAAAACAAAAAATGTTTAACGTAAAACTCGTAAAATTGTTTTCAATTAAATTATTTTTTTTAAGTTAAGATGATTTTCTTGGGCTCAGACTTAGTTTTGTGTTTAAATGCTTATCTACTCCATTGCTTCGCTAAGCTAATAGCCATATCTGATTCCTTTATTATGTCTTTGAGTATACACTGTATATTTCACTGAATATTAATTATTTATTAACGTAATTTAAAAAAAATATATATTTAAATAAGAGTGAACTTAATATGAAATAAAAGATTAAATTTTAAATCAACTAAACTTTTTTATTTTTCAATAACTGTATTTTTCTAAACTATACGCATAAATTATGATACATACATTATTAAAATAATATTATTCAATAACCTACTAAACCTTGATTATTATATTCGTTATTAAATTTGAGTTATGCAAAAAATGTCAAGTACCTATATACTTAACGTATATATATAGTATTAATCGACCGATCGGTCATCCCCCGTCCTGGTACGTCGCACATCATATAATACAGGGGATAATGTCATCGTTATAGGATTCGAGCTTTCAAAATAAAACAAAAATGTAAAGTATATACATAGTATCCCACCGTGGTTTCTTGATTCTAATATCTCTTTTCGTTGTTAATTTTTTTTTTCAATCCAATTTTGTGCTCTAAATATTTTCTCAGTCGTTTTACTTTAATTTCTAGAGAAATCATGCAAGTGTTATTTAGTGTGACAAAATCGTGAAATAATTTTTTATCAGTTTTATTGTTTGGTTAGGTTTGCTGCACATAGTACCCTTTTATAAAAAATTAAAACTGATATCACTATTTATGTGAAACATTTTATTAGTTATGTATGTATGATTGCTTTGTTAATATTTTTATAATAACATTTAATTAAAACTAGCTATTTTAAAAATATGAATATCTGAACATACAAAAACGTATTTTTTCTACTGAATAAGTAATGAAAATATACAATTACCTTTTCTCTATATCTATGTGAACAACACAATATCCGAATGAAAAAAATAAAAACTATTGAATATTATCAGAGCTATAAGCGTCGTTATAACACGCCACTCCAATATTAGCATTATTCAGCCGAAAAAAACGTTCACCGGAAAGTAACAAACGGGTATATAGGTATTCTTCTGTTCTATCATCGATGGTCGCGTAATGAAAACACCGAGATAACTAAAACACTTCGATATTCTACCGTATGATAATCGTTGTGGGGCGCGCTGAATGAATTTTCACGGCAAATATAATAATATAAATTAACTCGAAATTATATAAAGCTCATATTCAATTCTCAACACGTAGACTCGAAGGAGAGGATAATATTTGTATTGGTCTCTTAATAATTAATATCGAAACCTATACGCTACTGCGACAGGTATCTAACAATATTTGTAAATTCATAATACGTTTCACAAATTATAATGTATTAATTATTTGCGAAAAATGAAAACACTCGTAAGCAGCAGAGCTTCGTGAATACAGTTACATTTTTCCCACCTGTTTTGTATTATAGATCTTATTATACAATAACCAACTAAAACTGCATCATTTCAATCCGCTTACAAAATAACTCTTATTTCTCAGTTTGCGTTTATTAAGTCCAAAGAAAGTCACTAAAAGTGTCCAAAAGTAACAGAATAAAGATTTAATAACAAACAAAATACAGTTTAATAATTTTTTTTTCGAGGAATATTGGACTAAAACCATATTATTTGTGATTTAAAATTCCATATAAATACCTTATTGAGTAGACAAAAAATGATTATTATTTATAATTTGGTACCTGCAACTATTAAAGTAATAGTTAAAAGTGAAGTGAATATATAAATTAAAGATTCAATTTTAAATCATCTAAATTTTCAACTGTTTACTTTTTAATATCCAGGTTTGAATAATTTTATGTATATGAACTACACACATAACTTATGGTACAAACTATAGGAAACAAAGCTAATATTGATCGATTATTGCAAAACAATAACTTTACTGTTTCGATATTTCACGGGGTACCTAATTGTAGTTAGGAAAGTTCTTGTGTGTATAGATTAATTAAAATAAAATAAAATTCAAAATTTCGGACAATAATGTACGAACTAATTAAAATACGATACTGTATAATATTATATGTGTTAAATAGTTTTAAAAATATTTTTCGAATTGTTTCCAAAAGTTCTATCAACAATAATCGGGAAAACTTAAATCTCTATTCTGCGATAAGAAACTGCCTTTAAACGCTAAAATATATTACTCAAGAAAAATTAATTGATCGAAAAAAACGTCCATAAAATGAATTTTAAAAAAGTCATTGTATTACGATTATAATTCCATGTTTACTTGTAAACTTTCGGATAAAATACAATAGAAAACAGTATTGAGATAAGTCGGGTTTTAAAAGCCAGTAAGAAATAATATATTATTGCAGTTGCTACAATAATTCGTTGAAATTTAAAAAATAAATAATTCCGCAACAATATACCTAAAGTACACACTTATACATGGTATGTTTCCATAGTATTATACTTTAACCTGTGTAAATTCTCTGTCATTACTTTAAAATACTGTATTTTGTAACTATAGTGTTTTAAGTAAAACTATAGTCGAATGTCCTTCATTTTTATAAATCGAATCGAAATACTGTACAATAAACTAAAAATTATACATTCGGCAACATAATTAACTGAACTATGTGTATGTTATTTTGTTTTGAAATCGGCCAGTAAACCGTGTTATTATTACAAAATCACTGACAGAGAAAATATTTTATTGGAAAAGACTGAAAGGTCAGCCGAAAAAACACCGAGTAAATAGAATAACTGTAGAAGAACTAAACAAATGTGAATCGTACGTTTTTTGAGAATAGAAAACAGTGAAAAAGGAGAAAGGACAGAGGATTTTAATGAAGGCAGCCCAGGCCCACATACACGTGCATTAAAAGCTTAAAAAGAAATTCAGAAACATTATAATTCAAGAATTGATTCTTAATTGGAACAACTGATTATTTAAACGCGCGTGCAAAAAAAGAAAACAAATATACAAACCAATTTTGAACAATTCATATTGTGATTATTGTTTTTTGGTCGAAACTCGATTTTTCTTTTTGTGTTTCATAAATAATAAATGGTATCAAGAGCACTAATAATATATAATATGGATAGATACAGGTTATAGGAAAATAGGTACTGCGGTAAATGGCGGATATAATCTAATATTTCGTTGAAGCCTAGATAGAAAGCAAGAGAAAAAAAGTGACATTTTATTTTATACCGAGAATATATATATTTTTTATTTTAAGATTGATGATTGATGCATAATATTATAAAATCCGAAGTTTTTTTTACTTTGTTTGATGTATGCATGTGGGGGACAGTGATACAAAAAAAAAAAAAATAACTAAACCGGAAGTGTTTGACTTGGAGTTTTTCCTAATACCTCTACCACCTCCACTCAACATCCATGTGCACGTACTATATAAATATGTAAAGTTTAGCATCTAAAGGAAAAAAAACCGATCAGAAATAAATATATTTTCTTTCCAGACACATTTTTATGACATATATATATATATAAACATTATACACGCAAGACATCGTTTACACGACCGGATTCTTTGGTTTTTCGTCCCCAGCCTTTACGTTTATTTCATACTACCGTATAAATATTCAGTATCATACACAACAACCAACAACTTACAGACGGAGGGAAGAAGATCTTCCTTATCGCCTTTTTTTATTGTATGGATGTACATAAGATTTTCGATAAGATGAAGCCATACGGACCATACACGCATCTATAATCTCAATCTAACTAACTGGTAATACAGCAAAATTACGTTATTTAGAATATAAATTTTGACGTTTCATAGGTTAGAATTTGAACGCAAATTACAAAATTTAAAAAAGAGAACATTTCTATGTGCTGGATAATGTATATGCAGATTCATTATCTGAAATATTTTCATACGAAAAATGTATAGACATGTTAGTTTTTCTTTTTCTTTTTAATTCCTGCAATTTTTTTAAACGATCATAATTATATAGAAAATAGCTACCCTTGGAAATATTCTGCTATTTTTATATGTTATTTGTGTTCAATCTCTAATTTTAAACCTAAACACCACAATTTGCCTTTTAAGTAGCGTAATTTTGCTATGTTGTCAGTTAATTAGAATGAAATAATAGATGCGGGTATGGTGTCTTTTTTAAACACCGATAAACACTTAAACAATAATTGTACATGCCGTTTGTGTACTGTTGAATAACTGCATGTATGACTTGTAGGTAATTTCCGTCGTCTTAAAATCACTTAGCTTGTAGAAACAAAAAAAAAAAAAAAAATTTAATAAATAAATAATAGTTTTTTTATCATATTTTACAAATCAAAGTCAATATTGTTGATCTAGTAAAGTTATCTAAGAAATTCCTCGGGGAGAAGCCTCTTGTATTCTCCTAGCTGTTTATTTATCACTCTTCTTTATAAAATCATGAATATAGGCGTTGCACTGATAACAGTGCAAACATTAAGAGATTTAATTGTTATTAATTTTTTGTCGGTCAAATTTTATGATTACTCACACGAACGCACATACAAGCTCAAAACCGAGGCGAATTAATAGCTTCCATTCTATCATGATTATACCTATAGGTACTCGTATTCAAGTAACTGACGCGCACACAGTTTGCCAATTAATTATGTATGCGGTGAAACTAGAACGCGAAAAGGCGTTTGGAAATAGAAAATATACGCGAAAAGGAGGAGTTCGAAGATCTCGTATATGTATATATATATATATGTATGAAAGAAAAATATGAAAAAAGAGTGTTTAAACTTGGCGGGACATTATAAATGATTCAGTTGAACTGAGTTTTACAATATGTAAATATTATATATTATGTAAGATAAATACGGGATAGTATAATAAAACACGAATTTTTTTTTTTTTTTTTTTAATTTGTCTCTACGCATATCAAACGTATTTTTTGTTTTTTTAAATAAATCATATACTTAGAAAAAGTAAAAGTACAAACGCGCAAATTAAACATATGTACATTATACCGATAAGCCATATTATTATTTGTGTGTTAAGTCTTGACATTTTTGAAAATGGGTTAAATTTATAACTATTATATTTTGTTTTTTTCTGTTCAAACCGTGAACAACCCTTCAATCCATATCATTTATAGAGTAACAATAAATGACAATTCCAATAAACAACTACAAAGGTGTTCCCTAGCTGTTCATTATTCCTAGTGGCCTCCGTAATATCAGTGAAGGTAAACCTGGACCCTTTGAAAGCTTCCTGGAGGTGTTTAGGAAGGAGCATCGTAAAAAAGGCTATACACATCTTCCGAGGATGCAGCCGACTGTACTTCAATATCAGATTACGGGGTTTGTGGACAGTAATTGTATTGGGTTCATCAACAATACTCGGATTAGACATTTCTCCAAATCTACATTTGTTATTTATAGCAAACAGATTTGTGTGATTACACATTCTCAGCGTATCGATAAATAAAAGATGGGCGATGAAAATATTTCACCTTAAAGCAACTTTTTGTTTTTAGAAATATGTAAATGTATATAATATATAAAACAAATTATTCATCTGCTTCGATATTTCGGCTAATATTTTGTAACTCGAGATTCTATCAGAAAGGTTCGAGATTCGACGGAATTATTTGTCATAATAATAATAGTAATAAATAATTTCAAAATTAACCGAATTGCTGAAAGTCTCTTTCCGTGGAATAGGTATTCCACGGACGACTTAATATCGAGACACGTGTGAGGGCCGTTATAATATTCTAATATTACTTATTTTAATGTGCATATAAAATTACTGACATCGAAAGACGTTTGTTTTGTACATTTCAATATAAAATTGTCACGTTTTACTTAGAATGTAGTGAAGTTAAGTTTATAAAAAGTGGATAATTTAAATTTTAGTTGATTTTGAATTTTTTTTTTTTTTTTTTGGTATAATTTGTTACCGCATTCTAATTTAATTCAATTTGAATTGATATTAAATCATGAGTTGAACATATTACAGAGTTATATTTTTTTTTACCGGTTCATGAATAGTTATGAATAGCCAATACCGTACACCGCAGTATTTTGTAATTTTTAAATATTCTAAACTTTATGACGTAAATATGCATTTTAATATGTTCTTGTGAGAACATTAAACTTTATGTTCTTATATTTTAATATACACAGCGTGAATGC